TATTAGTATCTAAAGCTATTGTTTAATCAACGATAAATATTACTAACAGTTTGTTATAACTAGAATAGTTTTTAAATACATCTAATTTATAATCCTGTCCATTGCTACCAGAGTAGGAGCTTAAAAAAAAGGCAACAATATAGATTGTAACTATTAGAGATACCAAAAATGAGGTGGCAGGTAAGCTACGCCCAAAGTAATTATCCTTGTTTCTGGATTGTGTTCATTCATTGGGATTTATTATCTGTATCCTGTCACCTGTGGAGAAGTCAAAATGATAGGAATCTAATAAGATATATAATTTTGTTCTGATACTCTTATAACTTTAATTTAGTGATGGATTTAATGACCCTGAAGGTAATAGAAAGAGAATTGGGACATTATAATTAAGAACACTGATAATGTGTAAGAGCCATTTTATTTGATCTTTCTGAGCATTGCTTATGTGATCAAGGGATGCTTAAATTGTATGCAGCTGGTTAAAATCAGTTGTCATTTTCAGTAGATACTATATACATTTTATAAGGAAAAACACAATTCCTTATTAGAGTTTATGGGACAATTGAAGCTGTGTTGTTATCTTTCTGTGGTAGAAAATGAAATCATGTTCCTCAAAAGGAAAAGAGGAATGAGTGGCAGCACGGAGGTGTATTCACAGTTGCATTTGCTTAGTGATACTTCTTTCACGAAGAAATAGCAAGTCACTTCTGTTCGCTGTAACAGGAATTTGTGTATGAACAGAAAATGCAGGATACTTAGAATTCTGGTGATGCTCCTAGATGGATATAACTGCTCTGATAGCACAAGAGGCATATGCAGCTGCTCTGCTGATTTCACTTAACTCAGTATTTGGTAGGTGACAATTCTCAGCATTCTTTAGAAATCTTTTACCAGGTATGTCTTTACATTCTGATTCTTACAGTGTTTATTGAATACGTGAAAATAAAATATAGTACTTCTGCTAGCCCCCATACTTCCAGATTTTTCCATTCTAATTTGTTTTCTAGAGATTCATTATTGCTGTTTTCTAATCATACAACACTGTTCCTCATTTAAAATCCTGATTACAAATCTTATCACCAGACTTGCATTTGATTTGCATGTCCTTCAAGATGCAAGTTAGAACTTACCACACCTACTTGAGTCCTTTAAATTCTCAGTGTTTTGCTTCCACCTAGGTCAAAGTAATTTCCATCTTTATTTAGCTCATTCTTGTTAACCTCTCTACTTTAGCTCGATGTTCAGCAGCATCATTCTGATTGAATACTGAGTCAGGAGGCATCTAGTACTGACACCAGAGACAGGTTGTATTTAACCATGATCTGTACTTCCTTCTTAGTACCTGTATTTCTCTAATTCTTCTTCCCTTTTAATATTTGTTTCAGTTTACTTACAATGTATAATTTAGTCGAAGTTCTGAAGAACAGATAAGGAGGGTGGCAATCTTTTTCTCCCTGGAAATTCCAATACGTGACATCCAGCTAGGCAGAGCATGTCAAAACTCAGAACAGATGCTGCTAAAGTCTGTTATATTTCTGTTGAATTGGAATACCTCAGAAATCCATTTGAAGAAAATTGTATGATAGATTAAGTATTTTACAATGAACTTTATTACAAAACTATATTTCATTTGAAGTTTTGCAGTTATTTGCTTAGTATTTTGCCTTCTTTATGTAATATTATCCAATGAATGTTTCTGCAAACATCCTGAAATAGTTGTTCTATGTGGTTGTTTGTTTTTTTTTAAATTGGTATAAGTTACTCATAAGTGATTGGTCCTCCTTTTTCTAGATTTTGCAGTTTGTTTCAAAAACAGTGCTACATATGAACAAGGAAACAAGTGTTTAATTAGAAGATAAACTGTTTCAATTGATTTAAGAATACCAGTCCAGGCCATTATAATCATATCACTGTGCATGCCTTCCCTCCCCACCTCCTACCCCCCTTATTCTTTTCTCTTTCATTTCTGCAACAACTGTTTTCCTGAAAAGAAAGGTGAAGAATAACTCAAGCAAACATGATACAGAGTACTTAAACCAGAATAGACAATATACTAGGGTTCCTCTATGTCTAAATAAGTTGGTTCTGTCACTTTCACACAGGGAATTTACTTGTCCAAAGAGAATAAAAGATCAGGATTTCTTCTGTGATCTGTAGATCTGAATATTTGAGGAATATTTACATTCAGGGAAGAGTAATTGATAGACATAAAACATTTTTTAAAATTAGAAAAAACTCCTGCAGACTGTTGAAAACTATTCCCAAATAAAAACATTAAGCTCATTGTACAATAGAACAACTATTTCTGACCTTCTATAAGATGTCAGATTTTGAAGAGCCATCAAAAGTCTGATTGCAGACTGCTTCTATAGCTTTACAACATTTTTGCTGGTAAAAGTCTGTGATGACTGTAAAGACACACAATATTGTGTTTGCATGGAAGCAAATAAAACTTGACTAAGGACTTTTCAGTGAAAAACACAGATGTATTATTCATCTTGTATATTGGCTGAGAGAAAGGATGGAAGCATTGAAACTGACACTCTCCAGATGGGTCAAAGCCGTGATTAAAGAACCAGACCAGAAATCAGGGGGAAAATGCCCAGCAGGATTGAAGTGCATTTATGGCATTCTCATGGGCAGACAGAAGTGGAGCATTAATGATAAAATCTGCCTTGCAGCAGTTTGGGTGTCTGTCCATTCCTTTACCAAATGTTTTAAGTTGAACTTTTTTGTTTTTCAGTTCTCTCTTTCAATCCTTGTAATCTGCAGACAGCTCAGAACTTTTAAGTCTTGCTTGTTAACCTTTATGGTTTTAATTTTAATGTCGTGCATCCTATCTATGCAGTCTGGAAACTTGCTTTGACTCAGGACTGATAAATGCTTTTAACTGACAATGCAGGAATTGTTTCTAATGGTAAATTTGATTTCTTGTAACAATGGAAATCATCGACTTAGAAAATGCTACTTCCTGTCTTGCTGACGTAAGACATATGTTATTATTATTATGACCAACATAATTTGGGATTATGTTTAAAATGTCCAAAAACCTTTTATTTCTTTTTAATTTTCCCCCTCAATTCCTTTACATTTCTTGCACTTCTTTTCTATTTATACAACATACACAAAAACATGTACATCTTTATGGTTTTCCCACTCTTCTCCTTTTTCTTACTTTTTAAAACATGAGGGGAAATTGTGTGTCTAGGAATTTCTATACTAGATCAGACGGAGTTGACCCTCATTCAGTGTCCTGTTTCCATCAATGCCCAGTTCTGTTTGTAATTGTATAAGGAAAGGCTTCTGGTGATGCTTCCCTGCTTTGTTCTCTAGCCTTTAGACAACTCCAGGAGAAAGCTCACGTATACCATAGATAGTATGTTTGCATGTTAAAGTCTGTGTAAATTTTTGGTATCCATGGCATCCTGTAGCAAAATGTTATGGAACTCTTTGCTACAGGATGCTGTGAATGCCAAAATCTTTAATTGTGTGTTAATGAATGAAAATTCAAAACAAAGGAAGCTTGCTGCTAATTTTATATAACTTGCGTAGCTCCTTTATTCGAAGACACATTGAATATTTATTCCCTATTTACTCTCTTCAGAACACTCCTGAGTTCATAAACCTCCATAGCATTGCCTTTGGTTGCCTTGAGAGACAGATGAGTTTCTTTTCCATTTCCCTCTGTCCTCTTTAATGCTAAAGAATCAGAACTGTATGCCATGAAATATTTTGGAGGTTCACTGCTATGTCTGCACCCACCTAACAGCCTTCCCTATTGTAGTGTTTCAAAAGGATTTAGGAATACATCTGCTAATAACAATGTGGAGACAAATTATTGTACACATATTGTTTATATGAGAAAGGTATGCAGAAAATGGCCCCTTAATTCACAACCAGGTCTACTGAACAAGAACTCTCACAGGCTTTTCGCTTTCTAACCTAAAAGGTTTTGTGGTACCATTGTGCCAGGACACTAATCACATCTTTGGAAAAGTGAAACTTTGCCTGGACCTTCTCCGGGGATTTAGAACTGCAAAGTGTGCTCTGCAGTAGCCTTTCTGCAAACGGAGCACTACAACAGTTTCCTTAATCCAGAGATATTGATGTTAGAAAGCCTAATGACTAAACTGTAGCAGCAGTTGGAGCCCTCAGTGAAGTTAGTTTGGGAAAGTTTAATGGGTGTTCATTTTCACTGAATTTCACTGAATTTTAGAGTTGGAAGGGACCATAGAGATCATCTAGTCCAACTTCCCTGCTGAAGCAGGATTGCCTAGAGCTTGTCAGAGCATGTTACTCAGGACTGCATTTTGTTGCTAAGAGTTTCTACTCTTTACATCAGGAATTTTTCTGGGCCCACAGAAAATAGTTACCACACTTTCTTCCACTAGCAAGTGTAGCTGTCACATTCCTTGTTTGCCAGCCAAGAGGATTCTGTTTGGATATCAGTACTGCAAAAGTGTTACTGTTTTTCTGATGATCTAAATTTTCTCATTGGCCACTGAATGGCTGTGGTCTTTATGAATTTCCTGTTTTTAAGTGCTTTCAGAATTTGAAAGAGGAGGTGGTGGGGAAAGAACAGAACAAAAGAAGATACTGGACTTTCTCTGTACCTGGCAAACATATCTGACAGTCATGTCAAATTTCACCTGATAGTTACACATGTATTAATGTCTGGGTGTTTACACACGTGCTTACATATTGCTAATTTAAGATAGCAAAAAAGTTCAAGGAAGACACATACTAAACAATTGGATTGTCCTTGATTTGATTCTGTAATGACATCCAAAAGAACCAACTCTGCAAGATATGGGTTTCTTAATAACGTTAGCGCTGATTGTTGAAAACAATGGTTAAGTTTTCAAAGTGCTTTGAAAGATGATTACATCTGTAAGTATACATTTGGAAATGCATAGAGTGTATGTATATATGCACTGTTTATGCAGATTATGATTCTTTTTTCGGTAGTGACTTGACATCTTTCTTCCTCTCTGTCCTAGATATGCTAGTTCTGCCATTGACCGTCAAGGAAGCACATCCATGAGGAAGGTAAGGATTTATAAATATACTATAAAAACCCCAAAAAATCCTCAACAGTTCAATTTATTGTGTATTTTTAAAAGATACTTAAGAAACCTTGAAATTCATCTGTATTATGAAGCATCCTAAAATAAAAAGCTAGGAATAATTTCCATATTCAGAAAAGTAGCTATTGCAGCCACAGCAGGTCAGTGCCTATGCAGTAATTTTAGTTAAGTTTAGTAGGAACCTTAGTATGGGTTCTGAGGTATGTAGTGGTTTGGGAAAGAATCATAGAAAATGTCTAGATTGGAAGGGAACTCTGGAGGGAAGGTTGCCCTGGAAGAAGAGACAATTATTTTAAAATATCTTAAAATATTTAAGTAGTGTAAATACTATGATGGGGAGATACAGGATAAGGATTTTTAAATAATATAATATGGTACCAGTTTTGAAGGTCTTCAATGGAAAATATCCAGGCATTATTTTTTAGTATTTTAACAAATCTTTCATATATAGCTTCATTTTTATAGAATGCCTTTTCTTCATTCTGACTTAGCACTTTGTTCATGAAGTAGGTGCTAATTGAAAGTTACCAGATGTCATTCTGCCTCCCAAATATTTACAAAGTGAGGCTAACAGCCAGTGACAGCAGTGGAAGATAGATGACTAGATTTTCTGCAGTTTGCAAAAAGCTGCAGTTGTGTTTGCTGATACGTTGCCTCTATCTGCCGATCCCTACCTTGCCTGCTGCCTCCACTGGAAAACACTTGGACCTGTGGCTGTTCCCAGGGATCCTGGGACTGCAAATCATCTAATACATATAATGTGAGGAAATCAGCACTATGTCCCTATGATTTGTGTCTGTTGCTAGTGAACGCACTGATGGCTGGGTTTGGAACTTGTTAATGGTTTTCCTTAAAAACTCCTAAGGCTCAAAATAGGATAAATTCAACCAGTTTTGCATTAATGGGGTTGGTTCCCTTCATCCTGACAGGTGACTGAATCTCCAGTCTCCAGGGCATTTTTTAAACACAGCCTAAGTTTTCATTTGGTGATTCTGTGACAGCACTCCTGCTACTACACTGTGGCTATGTTGAGGTCTCATTAATTTAGCTTCATATAGCACAGATTCAACTTGATTGCTTTTTTTTTTCCATGGTGTGCTTCTTGTCGGGCTGGGGTGGGAAGGTCTGCGTTTTGGTTAACATTCTACTGCGCACTGTGGTTTTGAGATGAGAACTTGAACGCTGGCAACCACAGTATGTTCTCCCACCCTCTGTTTCCTGTAGCAACTCTGTCATTTTGAAGTTGCAAGTTCTGACTTTTTTCTTACAGTGTTTGCCACAAAGTTAATTATACAGCGGTTCCTTTATCTCTCAGAATACGAAGCTTGAATTTTGTAAGTTAGCAGTGCTAATTAAGTACTGATTCCCAAGGTATTGCAAACCTTTCACTTTCTCTAGTTTTCTTGCTTTGAATACACTGTATGTGCGCATAAACACAACATGGTAAGACTAATTGACTTCTGTTTTTAAAAGAGCTAATATTTTTAGCTCTCCTTGATTTGTTGTGCTTGTATTTTCATTATTTTTAGAACTCTTCTGTTGAATGATGCATACCAGTTTCCAGTGACTATCCTAATGCCTATATCCTCCATTTTTTGCATTTTTATAGAATTTAATCACATATGAAAACTGTAATTTAATTATAGGGATTTATTCATTGCAAAATTTTATAGCCTCAATTGTGGAAAAATGTGGTGATCTCTTTCTTGGGATCCTGTTCTGTCCTAATGCATTTTTATACAGAAAGAGGAGCATAGAACAGATTGTTTCAGTCACGGTCACCACAGAATTCCAGTTGGCACAATATGACTGACCAGTACTGTGGCTAACAATACATCAAATAAAAAAAAAAAAAGTTTTGCTGTGCATCTTTAATACTTTCTCATAGACTGCCTTTATTTTTTTCATTTTCTGTCTCTTTCCTACTACAATTCCTGTAGCACAGGAGCGAGCATTAATCTTTGTCTTCTCTAGCACTCAAAACAAAGAGATAAATTTGCAGCTATCAAGTAAATGGAGAATCTCTAGTGTCTTACGGTGATACAGTGGATAAACACTTACAGAGCTTGTCACCTGTCAGAATTACAGTATTTTTGTGAATCATTCATATACTGTGACTGACTGGGAGAACAGTCGGAGATTAACAGAAGACACAAAGCTGGTTTTCTCCGAGGCAGCTCTCTCAGGAGTCAAGAATTGCTGATTTGTGCAAGTCACTAGAAAATATCCACGCTATTCAACGCTGTAAACTGGCTAATTTGCAGAAGGGTTACAAATAGGTCTTTGCATGTGTAAAACAACTCCCTCTTCCTCACTTTTATTTTTAAGAAAATTTTGCAGCTCCAATAGTTGGACTCCTTTTTTCAGCTGTTGCTTTTCTGTAGTGCTTAAGCTGTAATCCTTGTTATTCTAAATATTAACTAATTTTTTAAAATTTTGATTATCATCCTCAGTTTTTAAAAATTTTTATATTTTGAAATTTAAGCGCTTATTTAATATGTTGCACCACAATAATTAATAAGGACTTTTGTAGCAAGTGTCTGCTTTTTGAGTGCGTGGGGAGGAGCCAGCTAAGGCAGGGTGAGCAGTCAGATCATCTCCAGGAGAAGGTAGCTGTAGTCATACCACTAGTTAAGGCAGCATCCCTGTCAGTGACTGAGGCACCCTTCTTCTAGGCCCTCTACTGAGCTGAGTTTTATCTGTCACAACGGAAAAGTCAAGAAAATTTAAAAGATTGGCCCTTTCTATTCTACTCTTTGCCTGGATCTGCTGGTTTATCACACTGGTTTTTATTGGTAATATTACCAATCAGACAGAGACTTCATCGTGTTGACCTGTAACCTTTCCCTTTGCATTTACATGTTTGAGTTAAATCCTCAGCATCTTTTGAGTAGTAACCCTTGAATTAAAAGGATTAGATAATGAGATGCTTTTAGGTTTTTCTTAAGAATCTGTAACGATTTTATAATGCAGCCAGAAAATAAAGAAATTTCTTTTTTTGTCCTCAGTTATTCCGTCGACCTACAAACCCAACAAACTTTATTGTTTCCTATTGTTGGAAACAATTAAAAAATGTGACTTCATTGTGTCATTGAACGCATGACTTTACACATAAACTATATAATGTTTGTGGTGGATGTTTCTTTTTGAATGTAACTATCTCATGTATACCTACAGCAAAGTAGTATTCATTTTATTAGATCATTCATAGGAATTTACATCCTTAGTTTTCAAAGTACTGCACAACAATTCATGCAAAGAATCCTTAATGATTTGATTGCAATTGTATTTAATAACTGAAAAAAAAGGGATTTTAACTTGCAGGTTTAGCACTGTGTTGTTTTATTTATGATATTTGTAAGAGAAAAATAACAAAAAGGAGATCCTATGATAATTGATTCTATGATAACTAACCATAAGACAACCTTGGAGATGGCAGTGAATGCCTGCTGCTTCATGTTACTACTATAACTGCATTGGTTTTTCATAAATTTTTTTTTTCCTTACAGTCATTTCACTACGCTTCCCTCAGGGTAAAAAGCAGAAAATGGTCAAAAGGTAACTTATTTGAGTTAACATTTTGAAAGTAGAAAATGAGACTTTTTCTCTAATAATAAGTGATCTGGATCAAATGTCAAAGTTCAGCTTAATTCAAATATTTCTAAATTTGATAGTAAACACCAAAGTAAAATACCAAGTAATTGTGTTGTAAGGTACAGTATTGCTAGACTCAGTGGTGCAATCTCCTCTGACTTAAGCAGAAGAAAGGGAGTATCTGTATATTTTGCCATTTCCTTCTGCTCTTTTTTTTAATCTATTCATGACCTATTTGAGAGTGTGAAATGAATGAACATATGAAAAATATTTACAGCATAATAAAGTCATATGAAAGTATGTGGCCAGTGAGCTCTGCTCTTTTTATATTATTTGCTGGTTTAGTCTCCTTTCTTTGAAAATTTTCCTTTTATTATACTATACAATTTTAATTCCTTCTAAGCCTGACGAGGACACGGCATAGCATATTATTCTAAAAAGAGCAAAACATTAAGAACGTGTTTGCGGAATGTTGCAGAAAAAGGATGGTCATTTGATGTTATCTAAATTTCTTTACTGTTTCACAGCTGTAGGACAAATATAATTCTTGTAGCAACATAAACTTGATTTTTCACAGAAAAATATTGAATATTTTAGGGAAATTTTGTACAGAGTCTTTTTCAGGAAAAATTACACCATAATTAAGAAAAAAACCCTGTTCTTATTGATATTTACAAGGCACACTAAAATTTTAAGTCTTTCAATTAGGATGTATTGGAGTAACAATGACACAAACCCCACCTTTTCCTGGTGCTGTGCCTTAAAACAGGATGCAGTAAAGTTAAAATACTGTTGTCAGCTAAATTCAGGACAGAAGAAATGTAAGCATGTGCATTTTTATGGAAGTGGATGATCTTTCTTTTTTATTGACTATAAATATTGACTATAAAAATTGAGTTAAAAATGCCCAGAATTTGAAAGGCCTTCTATTGCTAAAAGTAGTAACGGAAGATGTACGGAAGTAGTGATGTTTACATCTGTAGACAGATTGTATCATGCTCTGAGTTTCAAATTGAGGGCTAAATGAATACAGTTTTACTTTGGTAGGATGATGTCCATCTTAATCAGATAAAAATGCAGCTCTAAGAGGAATGAACCCTCTAGAGATTAAATAATCCATTACATAAAACAGGCCCTTTTTATTTTGTATTCATGCTGAAGGCAAAATTGCAGAGCATTGTGGAATTTGGAAATGTTCATTCAATCTCCTCTCCCTGAAACTGGAGAGGATTTGGCTTGAAGGATTTTGATTTGAATCATCATTAAAAATGAGTGTGTTTGTGTTGAGAAGAACAGTTCTTTCACTCTTTCATTCAGTGAGATGTCTCAGACTATTGTCACTTGCTCAGGGAGCTCTCTAACGAGTGGGAGCAGAAGACGGATTTCCTGCAAAGACTTGGGGCACGGAGACTGTGAAGGCTGGCTGTGGAAGAAAAAGGATGCCAAAGGTTATTTCACACAGAAATGGAAAAAGTACTGGTTTATTCTGAAGGATTCCTCCTTGTACTGGTACACAAACCAGAATGTAAGTATACTCTATGTTTGGAGACAGCCAAAATTTAGCCTTAAATGTTATAATTCTTTTGAATAAAGTCTATTTTACTACATGGTAGGATCTGTTAGTGAACTGCCACTTTGTCAGATCTGGGTCACTCTAGCTGGAAATACTTCTATTGAAATTATTTTTTATAGTCTCCGAAGTCCATGTCCGAGCCTAATAAAATAGCAGATGCTTGTGGCACTCTTAAAGAAGTTAATACATCAGTAGTTAATAATTTTCCACAGGTACTATTTATTTGGATTAACATTGTGTTCACATGCAGCTCTCCTTAGTTTCAGTTGCGTGGGGAGATGTACACAGTGTAACCGTTCATGTTAGTTAGGCATTATGTGAAGCAAATGTGAAAAATCTGAATTTGTAGATCTCTTTATCTGAACGTTATTCTTATATAGATGTTCCTCTTGCTTTTTGCTGAATTAGTCTGGAGTTTGCAGTTTCTGGTGTGTAAAATGCTGTTCTTGGCGAAATGTTATTGAGAAGCACTGGGCCTACGCTTGTGCAATCTGCATATATGTAGGAAAATCGAATGGATGGGAGAAGCCAAAAATTGTTCCATTTGTGTGCATTGAGCCTCAGTGCCTGATGTAAACTGTCTGCGTACCGCCTGCTTTGATCACTGATAATTTAGTAGAATTTCTACTTTCTTCAAAAGGACAATTTTACTGGCATAATTATCTTCAGTTTTAGTATTTTCTTGTCAGCCCAAAACAGAAGTGTTTCAGGCTGTGGATGATGAAGACCTTCAGGTTGTGTTGTATGTTTTGTTTGTTTGACATTGTTACATGCAAGGGGGTAGTCATTATGTGTCCCACTGATTTTCAGTCTGTTGTTTACAGTCAGACCATAATTCATACTACACTTCCTAGTATTTTTCAAAAACCTGGCTGGTGTTAGTATGTCTCCTTGCTTTTCCTGGTAAATTATTTCAAAAGAAGCAGAAAGTGACAAGAGATACTGTCTGGTTATTACTTTTCCATTTAATCACTGGTGAGCTCACTGTAGGAACCTCCTCAATTATTATTAGCAGGGCAGATGGTCTGCACAATGGTGACTTTAAAAGGAGGCATCCACAAACAGTTTTAAAATGTAGACAAAATGATGAAGAAACTGCGAATTCTTCTTTGTAGTTGTTGACATCCTGAATGCTATTTTCAGTGCTGTATTTGGGGCTGAAATGTTTTCTGTAATCTTCAGCAAAGGGGAATTAGGGTAACTGCAGCTCCTTCAAGAAACTGTCAGTTTAGTTACTTCATAAAAGTTACTAATATTGTAGTATGAAGCAAAAATACATTTTTAAAGTCAAAACATTACGCGGAAATTATATTCAGTATTTCCACTGATGGGGTGGTTGTTCTTAGTGTAAGACCCAAATGGCTACTGCTCACTTCTCTCTTATTTTCTTCCTCACCATCACTTTCTCTTTTCTTTTGATAGGATGAAAAAGCAGAAGGATTCATTAGTTTACCTGAGTTCAGAATAGACAGAGCAATTGAATGCAGAAGAAAACAGTAAGTAATATGTCAATTACGTTTATAAATTAAGGGATCGCTCTTGGAGGTATTCTGTATATAGTACTGGAAATTTGCAAAGCCCAGAGAAGGAAGCTACACAAAAAACCTTGAAATCTATAAATAAGACATAATAGATCCACTTAAACTTTAGTGTTTCTCTTTGTTATAAAAGGTACAACAATGTAAATTCCATAACTCTTTCCAGATGGCCTAGTTACCATTTCAGTTAAATAAGCAAAGCAAGAAATAATGAATATGTTAGCCAAGAGATGAAACTTTCTTGGCTTCAGTATAGTTATCTTGATAAATATCAAGTGTGCAAAAAACAATTACCATAGGAAATACCATTAAAAATATCATAGCAAGGGATGGTGAATGTAATCTCCATTTTCTCCTTTATGGAGGAGGCTTACTTACCCAATATTGTGTTATTCTCAACTGCTAAAATATTTAGGTTCCATATGCAAAATTAACATTTCGTTATTACTTATGTGCATATTGCTTCTACTGCATTATGGTCCCAGTAAAAAGCATATGCTAAGCTTTGCCACCCTTAAGGCATATTCAATAACAGACACTCACTGGAAATTGTTTGCAAGCGGTGTTGGGACTGGAATGCAGAGCTGTCAAACAGCAGGTTCAGCAGAACAGTTCTAATGCTTTGAGACTAGCACTTTGCCAGTATCTCCCGAGTTATTTGCGTGTCTCTTTCATACGCTGCATCTGGATTTTTAAAACTTGCTGCCATGAGGAGCTACATACTCTTTTACTAAAGCTTCCCAAGTTATAACTAAGCATCCGGAATTTTTGTCGTGCTTTTCTGATGACAATGCAGTTTTGGTCTGGGGAGTGTAAGTCCTACAACTATGATCAGGTATACAATAAGAATACTGATATGAATTATATAGAGACTACTCAGCAGAAAAACAAACCTCTTCAATTCCTTGTTCTTGTCGGGAGGTATTATTGCTGTCTGTCTGAGGACTAGAAGAGGGTGGATTTATACTTCTATTTCAGCTGAGGGTATCGCTATAGAAATTAAACATGAACTGAGCACGATAAGTTCCTCTGAGGAATGAGTAGATATTAGTAATGATATTGAACAAAAATACAGCAAAAATAATACCCTTTTGTTAGAATATAAAACACTTAACAAATTTCAGTGAATTAACCAAGATCAAAGAGAAGGTCATTGTGCACAGCCAGAAATAGCTTCCAGAGCTTTGCTCTAAGCATTAGAACACTTTTACTCAGAACATTTCTTAGAGAACAATTTCTGTAGGGTATATGCACAGGAAAAAGTCTGATTAACTAAAACTTTGCACACTACTGAAAACTGAGTACCTTCAGGCTTTGAATCCTTTCAAAAAGAGGTAGATCCAAGGGTAAAAGAATAATAAAGATGTTAACAGTATTCCCTTTGTTCCCAGCTGAATTTCCTGTCGATTTCTTCCTTCGTGCACTATCATTTATATATTTCCCATATCATAAAAACTACACCTTACATTTACCACTGTTTTACCTGCCCCTCTGAGCACTGCAGAGGCAGTAAATGCCGTGTTAGGCTCACTAACATTTCAGTGTATCCAGCCTTTGTGAGTGGAGGCTCCTGCTTGTGCTGCAGCCAGCGCTACTCCACAGCCTCTGTAAGCACACTCTGAACACCTCCCTGTCCTCTTCTGTCTTGTCTCACCAAGGACAGGACTGAGCACGATTGCCATCACCGCAGAAAAAAAGCTAATGGTTCTGGTGAGCCCAGGGAGAACTTCCTGGGGTTTGATTCTTCTGCATTTCTTTTACAAATAAAAGGAAGGTGATGGTGACCCATTTTGACCCAGCATATTCTGGAAAAGTTCTATATCACACTTCATTATTCTCTCTGCTGGACTAGAGGGCAACAGAAAAAAATGCCGCAGAAAAGCTAATGGTTCTGGTGAGCCCAGGGAGAACTTCCTGGGGTTTGATTCTTCTGCATTTCTTTTACAAATAAAAGGAAGGTGATGGTGACCCATTTTGACCCAGCATATTCTGGAAAAGTTCTATATCACACTTCATTATTCTCTCTGCTGGACTAGAGGGCAACATTTCAGTGAGGTTTTTCTTGCCTTTTCAGAGAGTTATGGAAAGACAGATTTTGCAGGATCTATTCTTGCTTCTTTCCACTTTTGGCTATCTTTTTCATTGAATAGTGGGTTTTAGTTGGTGCTGGAATGTAACCTAAAATTCATTGCAAGCTTTAAACCTGAAAATATAAATCTGGTTGTGTTCTTACTCGCTTCTATATGATTGAGTCCATTTCAGCATTAATGCAAAAGCTAGAAAAGCAGTTACCTTGACAGTTAAATAAGGACAGGAGAATGAAACCTAGTTCTTTCCTTTTTTATTTTTTGGTAGGTTAATTTGCTATTAAATTAAGATGGCCTGAAAACTATGCTTAGTATTTTAGTGCCTAAAGAAGTCTAGCTAAAATCACAGTGTTAGTTTTCTTTTAGCTCTCTTAAAAGAATACTAAGAACATTTTGGTACTCAACTTGGATTTCTCCTCAAATTTCTGTTATTTTCAGAGCCATCAACGTGAAATGCTCAAACCTTAATGAACAAAAGAATTTGAAGTCTTACTGGAATAATGAATAGATTTGTCTTTTCCACTCTTCTGTCAGAAGGAGAATACTGTTTCATAGAATGACTGATGCCCATAGTATACACTGAATGAAATAGCCTTAAGAAAGCTTTCACAAAATGTATATTAATTGAATGCATTATTCTGTATGGTTTGATGATTTGCCTCACTAATGCATTTAATGAAGGTATCCTGATTATTATACGAATCATGGCATTATCTCAGACTGGTTTAGCTCTCCGGGCTATATTTGGATGTAGAATGACCTTGTCCCTGTGATAGGGGGTTTCTTGCATTGACAGTGAAAAACTTTCTGTTGCTTTTAGGCAACACTTGCATCTTCATGATCAAAAATGATCATACTGTACTAGAAATCTTAGTTATTTAAGTTTTTGTGTGATGTGGCATGACATGAATGACATATTATTTTCAAATATAATTATAATGCCCCATGATGAAACTGATCCACAAGGCTAAAGATTAATGGAACTAGGTATATAATTAATGACTTAACTAGTGCTTTGCCTGAACTTTCAAAAAATCTCCAGCTAGTGAAAATTTTCATTGCATAATTAATTGCATAATTAATGCAAATTTAGGTCTTAAATTTATGAGACCATATGCTGTTCTGTTGCCACTTCATATTGGAACTGTACAGTCAGAATTCCATATAAAATTTAATTGACATAGTATAGGTAAATGTAAAGTTATATCTTCAAAATTGCTACAGTTCTGGTACTTTTTATTACTTCTTCTGAAATGGACTTGACAGTCTTGGTAGACAGCAAAGCAGACATGAGCCACCCGCAGGGCCCTGCAGGAAAGAAGGCAGACAGCTTCCTGGACTGTGGTAGCTGGAGGGCAGCCAACACATGAGGGAAGAGATTATTCCCTTTTACTTGGTACTCATTACACCACATCTAGATCACTGCATCCAGTTTTGGGCCCTCCCAAACAAGCCAAAGGTAAAAATATAGGTATCGTTCTTCTGCATTATTCATATTCTTCTGTACATCTAGAATTACTTCCCTGGAGAGTTTTCTGTAGTTCTTAATGCTAGTGTGTCTACGTGCTTCTCTAATCATAATCTTTGTGACACTTCTGGGAGATGAAGATAGATTTATTGTCACGTTTTGCAGCCCAGAAACAGAACTGCAAAACATTTAAATCAAAAGTTTCCACAGAATCGCGATTTCCATTTCATAACGATGATGAGCTGTTTTCTTCAGAGTTTGTAAATATATACCAGTACAATACATTATTGCAGCTGTAAGTCCTCACCATGTCAGTAAATTATCAGAGAATCAGGCAAAAAGATACTAAGGAATGTTCATGTAGTAACCAATTATTAAGTCTGTTTGCTGTGACTTAGCATGTGAGAACTCTTTTGCATAAGCAGGAAGACCTGCAGCATTTAGCTGATTTGCCTTTGAAAGAACACTTTCGGCATTTTAACACAAATTCTGTAACAACTGAGACAGAAAGTAGCTTTATGTTTTGCATAATCCTGATTCACCTCTCCAGCAAGTCCACTCTGTAACCTAATTGAGACATGGTTCCTGTGAGAACCGGACAGTCAAATACATAATCATATATTGTACCACATTACACGAATGTAGTGGAACCACATTTAAGATCTGTTTATCCCAGTGAACTCTGAAATGTTACTCTGAAATAGAACTCATATATTCATATATATTATATAACTCTGAAATATTCTAACTTTCAAAGGTTGACTTTGAAACCTCACTATTGGCATTTTAATGCTTTTATGTATATAAATTTCCTGTCTAGGAAAATAATCCTATTTACATGTAGAAACTCCCATCATGTGATATTCTAACGGGATTAATCAAGAGGATTAGAATCTTTAGATCCACCACGTAATCCTCTCCAATTCGAGTCAATACTAAAAGCTCGGAACCGGAAGATGGTTGGGCAAATGGAGCACTAGAAGGTGGAGATGTTGCAGGAACTTCAGACCAACTGAAACCAGAGTGCTGATTTCGCAGTAAAATACATCCAAGAAAACAGCATATCGTGCTTAAATAGTATAACAGTGCAAAAGGCTTTGTTTAGAAATTACTTTTTATTTTGAGTATTAAAAATTAAGTTCTGTACGGAGGTATAGTATTTGTTAATTACTGTGTAATTAACAACATGTAGTATACCACTGTACTATATGTGTCTGTGCATAAAGACATATACTAAACTATTTCACATTTCTTATTCACAAAGCGATATCATCTGTTTTGCCAGAACAGTGGGAGTTGCTCGTAGTCAGCTGGCTTAAGGGAGTAAAATGTTCCCCATTCAGAAGTAGGAGTGAGTAAGAGTGATAAGCATATTTGACACTAAAATCATACTACATTGATCGGGTAAAATAATTAATAAATTTGATCAGAGTATACTTAAAATGGTATTTATATAATGATCAAAATCTCATGCGTTAAAATCTTAAAATTCAGTATGTATAATTAACAAGCGTATGCCATCTAGTGGGCATCAGAAGAGTTTCCTCCCTCTTCATTTGCCATGGACTCTATTTTCATTTGCAAAATACAAGTAGCTAGGGAGATGGGGATCTGCAGTTGAAATTATCAATGTTCAGATGCCAAAACAATAATTAAATACCTCTCGAGTCTTCTTTTATGGAATTAAGATGGTTTATGACCCTCTGTGCGAAGGCAAACTTATCTTTAGCATAGCTCTGATCTCATGAAAAAGGAAACTGCACACAAATACAACTCTTCTGTAGAACTTCTGGTAGGAAAGCCTCTTGCTGTGTATGCATTTCTATTAATAATATATGTAAGAAAATCAGAATGCCCAAGTGAATCTTCTTCAGCTTTCATTTTTCTGTCTGGAAACTGCCATAAATCATAGTAATTAATAAAACACTAATTTGCATTTAAGCTATTAATAGTAGAAAGGTTGCATCACAGGGTTTTCATAATGCCATGTATAATGATTCCTAATCTAATTCTTACATCTGGTAATTACCATATAAATGTCAGTTTTTTAATGTAAATGTTATGAGTGATAGCATTGGGTTTTTTAACATTAGTGAACTAATCAAAATAATAATCTTTAATGCTTTGAGTTTGTGGTTTCCTTGTTAGCAATACTGGTTTTAGTTATATTGACACAAAAAATTTGTAAGAAATGTGATTATTGTTCATAGCAGTTTTCAAGTAACTGCTCCACTGAGGGAGAGCTTAGAATTATGCCATATAAACACATTAATAAAAAGCATTTTTATGTGAACTGTAATCATCCCTGCTGTAAGATTTTGAGCTTGATGATTATCTCAGGCATGTAGTGTGAACAGACTGCAGCGTAAGTAGCGATGTCTGTGTATAGCCAGCCTACACTGAGAACCAGGCCTTCTGTCATGAAATCAGTAATATAAAATTGAATTACACTGGCCAAGTGGCTGGGGAAGCAATTGACATTTGAGGAAGAAGAAGAAATATTAGCAATGAATGGAACAATGTCAGTCTTACAGCTACCTTTTATCATCCTACTGTTCAGTACCTCGGGTCAGTATAGCCAGGAATGTAGTACACTGTACTACTCATACTGTACTAGTTACAAAAGTGAACCGGTAAAGACTTTTTAAATCAAGTTAAACCTATTGTGATATGCTTTTGGAACTATTCCAGTGATTTCTAATTCAACTTGGACTTTTCAAAGAACTTCATTCTATAAATAAACTTTCCATACATTTAAAATAACCAAGGTGGGGGGGGAACCCCACCCCAAACAACTAGGACTTCTTGAATCAAAAGCTATCTGTGAGAACAAGCTGCAGTTAAAAAAATACGTAGATACATAGAATTGACCACAAATTATAGTGTAACAACATAAGGTTTAAATTTAAGTGTTGGCAACTCTGTTATTTGCTATGTGGAAGATGAAGAAGCATTAACTGTTAATGAACTTGTGTTGATTGCAAGAAAGATACAGCAAAGATTAGTAGATTAAGATGAAAAGTACTTGGGATATGGTTGGCTTTAGAGTAACTTGACAAAGCAATTGCTGGAATTAGAAGTGACTATTTAAAGAGTTAAGAGCATCCAAGGAACAGCTTTATTACTGCCTACTTCCAAACAAAGAAAAACTGCCACTTATATGCCCTAGAACTTTCTGTATTGCTTTTGTGAAACTCAAATTGATTATAAGTACGGATTAAAAATACATTGTATGAAATTTAGGAAACATTCCTTTATTTTATTCTGGAGATCTTACAGTCATAAAGAAGTGAAGAAGTAAAGAGAATTTGAGTGCTCTATTTTAAATGTTGTCTCCAGTTGAATGCAAATACTGGTTATTCATCTTTATATATCTTCTCTTCCTCATTTATTAACAGCAAATAAAATTTGGATGAATTCATGTACACCTTCCAAATCAAAGTTACAATAAAGATACAAAACAGTTATAACATAAGTTGGCAGCCCTCTATATTTTCTTGAGTAGGACACAAACCACAGTCATCTAAATATGTGAGGATACGTGGGGGATCAAACTCTTACTCCTTTACAGAATTTCAGATTCACCCAAGAAGCTTTTAGATGTATAACATCGCTGGTTGTTGAAAGGATTTGCATTTCTAAGTCATTCAAGGGCTTTTGAAAATCTGCAAAGTACCAGTTAGGCTTGCAAATGTAGGTGCATTCAGGTCAGTAGGAATCCATCTGTAAGTTTATCCAGCAAGAGATTCAGGCTGAAGATTCAAAATGCCTATGAAACGTGTAACATACCGAAGAATTGTAGAGCAGGTCATTTTTGTGTATTTGTAGACAAACTGTCTGAAGGAAAATGCAATTTTTTATTCTTTGTGCTTATTTTTGTAGTGCCTTCAAAGCATGCCACCCCAAAATAAAAAGCTTCTACTTTGCAACAGACTGCCTTGAAGAAATGAATAGGTAAGTTCTGTATTCTTTATCATGGTACTCCAATAATTGAAAATAATATTTCACGTCACACAGAAATGCACTCTTGGAGCACGATGTAATGCTGATTGATAGTGTTCTCAGTAGAGTCCACTTAGTCCCCCCTTGATTTTAGTATGTACAGCATTACATTGTGTGGCTCATTTTATGTTTGCTGAAATTTTCTCACATGGCACAATTCTGCAAAGGTTGAAAGCTAGTTGTGTTGCTCTCATTAGTATGTTTGGGTTTTAATTGCTTATCACACTTTTAAACTTTCATTGATCAAGGCTGGGAAGATTAATGTGAAATAAAAGTCTCTGGCATATAAAAGCAGTGCTGTTGTGGTTTAACACCAGCCAGCAACTAGGACCATGCATCCACTCCCTTGCTCCTCCCAGCTGGGATAGGGGAGAGAACCAGAAGAGTAAAAGTGAAAAAAAATTTATGGGTTGAGATAAAGGCAGTTTAGTAAGTAAAGCAAAAGCCACACACACAGGCAAAGCAAAACAAGGAATTAATTCATTACTTCCCATGTTCAGCCATCCCCAGGAAAGCAGGGCTCCATCACGCATAACAGTGACTTGGGAAGACAAACACCATCACTCTGGACCTCTCCCCTTCCTTCTTCTTCCCACAGCTTTATTGCTGAGCATGATGTCCCATGGCTTGGAATAGCCCTTTGGACAGTTGGGGTCAGCTGTCCCCCCAGTGTCCCCTCCCAGCTTTTTGTGTACCTGCACCCTACTCACTGGTGGAGTGGGGTGAGGAGCAGAAAACACTTTGACTGCTCAGCAACAACTGACACACTATTTTTATCCCAAATCCAAAACATAGCACTAGCTGCTAGTAAGAAAGTCAACTCTGTCCCAGCTGAAACCATGACAAATGCATACGTACCAAAGCTCACACTGAAGAATATGCCCACACGATGGGATAAAATAGTTTTAAGGTAGCTCTGCTGATAATCCACAGTAATGTCACATGACCTGAAGCCAGACAAAAGCAATTTGAAGTGATTTTTTTTTTTAACAGGAATGGTATTGAACTAATGAGATGCGTTTATTTTTCATGCCAGAATTTAAAAAAAAAACTCAAACCCAAACCAAAACCAAAAAACACCCCTAAAGAACGCAACGCCCAACAACAACAAAAAACCCCAGTAATAATTTTATTCATTGCATCACTGTCCTAACAAGGAACATGAGGGAGACTAGCAAAGTTCAATTGTTGGCATTGCTGTGTGTTTTTAAATGTCCTTGGATGTGCTGGGAGGACATTCATCCTTGACTGGACAAAGCCCTGAACAACCTGATCCAACATTAAAGTTGGCCCTGCTGTGGGTGGGAGGTGGGAACAGACAACCTCCTGAGATCTCTTCTAACCTAAATTACTCTGTGCTTCTATTTTGTCATTCAGTGATGAAGGCAGAGGTTAGATAAAGTTGGAAAGTCAGAGTCAAATGTTCTACCTCCTTCTGTTACTTGAGTAATTTGTTTATTCCCAGCTGAGGTAAAAAGCAAGGACACATGGGACAATGTTACCATACTTTGAAGTCTTAAATCTTTCCTGGCACAGACTGCTAAAACTTCAAGATTTAGTTCTTTCTGTTCGCAGACTTAGAAAGACACAACTACCTCAGAATACAGGTGGACTTTTTCCTTTGGAATACTAACGTCCACAAACTATATTTTTAAATTGAACATCTATATTCTGTAATTTACATGACCCTTCAAGAAATAGTGTATTTGATGCATAGGACTGACTGTATTGAAACATTTCAGGGCAGTTCATCATCCACTGATGATGCTGATGAGGTTCAGTTCTCAGGAGCATCTCACTGTGGCTAGCTGTCATTTTTAGGATCTAAACTTGCTGAAAAATATTTTTTCCATTGTTAATAATGTTTCATTTATCAGAAATGTAACATGGCTGAGCTTTGTTTGGTCCAAAACTGGCATGAGGATCTTCTACTATTTTTAACTATGAATGGTTTCTCCCTTGATTTTAGCTGCTTCGATAGCTATGATTTGTTGAAGTGCCATTGATCATATCTTTCTATTATACCATAAAATGTTTGACTCAAGGAAAACCAGGAAGTCTTGACATACGTTCAATAAACTGCTCTTACAATATTCATTGATTTTTCTACACGGGGGAGCCAACGAAGCTGTCTTTATGGCAGTTTACAGCCTTCATGGAGAGCAAGAGTTGGAAAGGTGCCAAGATATATTTTCATATATTCTGTGATAGTTTGGAATTTACGAGAGCCTTTTTCCTGACATTTTGGGTTTTCTTCCCATGAGAAAAGACAATGGGTGAACTTCCTCTTGACATATTTTTATGCAGTATTTTTCCTTCAGAAATGCTGTTCCCATAGGGTAATTGTAATTCACTCCTCAGCCCGATGATGGATTACTGTGCTACCTCTGTAAAATCCCTGGGCATCCCCTGCAGCCATTACGTGCTTTCTGGAATACCTTCTCCCAGATACCCTGTGTGAAATTTGAAATGAGTAAGCAAGATTCATAGATGAAAACTGGATTTAAAATACTAATTTCACAAATCTCTCTCTTCCTAGCAAATTGCTAACCATGTAATCTGAGGAAATAGGGAAATACTCTGCACAGTACCTCACACTCCTGCTGCCACCACAAAATTTAACTGGATTTTCTGTGCTGACAGAAGGGTACAGAGGGCTGTGCTGAAAAGTAATGGAGTAAAGGAAAAAAAATATGGAGAGGAACATAGCATTTGTTTATTCACTATGTGGAAAACATATAGCCTTTCTTCAACTGCATTTACCACTAGCTTTTATTTTAACAGCCATTTTTACAGTTTCTTACTTCAGATTCCCTGTTAAATAATTTTTTCCCACTCCAGAATATTTTAACCTACCTTTAATATTGCATTGCCATTGAAAGAATTGCTTACCAATGGGTAGTAATTGATTTGTATGTAGCAGATAGAGTTACTCTCTTGTAGCTGTATTTTGCCTGCTGGGTTGCATGGTGCAGGCTGCAGTTTGCAAAATTGATGTTCATGCTGTTTTGTCAGGTCTTACATGAGCATAGTTGTGTTCTTAGAAATGAATTAATAATGAAATTGATGAGCTCATCTTTCGCTTGCCACGGTCACGAGGTACTCCCAGCCTGTTAAAGGCCTTATTTCCCAGAAGTGCTTTATCTATTACCATATCATGCATAACCTGTTCATGGCCTTAATACTCCTAAGGAAATCAGCATGGAATTTAATATTCAGTTGTTTCACAATATCTACTTTATTTAAAACTTTCATGTGATTGAAGTATGCGATGCAGTGCATTTACAGTCTCCTCATGGACTCCAAATATTAAATTAAAAAAGGTTCCTATTTTAGGCTGAATAATTTGATCACATTTGATTTGAATAACTGGGTTAACTTTGCAATTTTAATAACTCCAATAAATTTTTTGCATTCATTCAAAAAATATAACAAATATCTGCTAGGCACTGAAACAGAACGATGATTGATTTTGTAGGGGTCACTTCCAATGTTTTCCAAGTAAAGATCTGAAAGATTCTAACATGATATTTCTCTTAAAAATAAACTGTTTGAAAATTTAAGTATTCTGAATTAAATCTCGATTGATTATAAGCAAATTTCAGGGTGCATATGCTCTGTATTTTTATGTATGGAATATAACAAAGTGAGTTACTCAAGGCTTTCCTTAAACCATCCTGTTTATCACTGAAGTTCATTCAGCTGCCTTCCTTAAATTTGGGGCGTGTTAGTCTCCTTTACAGATCTTGGCCAACTCAGATGGTAGGCCAGTATTAATGCATCTTTTACAGTTTTTATTTTCTTTCAAACTTATCTTACAAATAAGCTAACACCTAGGAAAAGATCTTGACAGCTAAAAATTTCAGACATGTGCCCATATTAGACATTGCCGCTCTTAAAGAAGAGTTCCTGGAGAAGCGAGCAGGAGAGTAATCACGTCAGATCTGTCTGTACTAATTTAATAGTTCTTTAAGAAGTAGAGCCAAGTAAGTTATTAAAGAGCTCTTACTTCCCAGTCCCTTATCAGCTGAAAAGTAAAGAGATAATGCAGAATATGAAAGGTACCTTTCAAATAGAAATCCCTGAAATGGAGCTTCCCAATGGTGTTGTAAGTAAATAAACACCAGGTTTTCCCATTCTTCCTTTATGTTCCTATACACTTGTTTCAAATCCAGGAAAAATAGTCTGTGCCTGAGGCCATTTCAGTCTTCTAATTTATTGTTCTCACATAAAAGCTCATAAGTTGAAGCACAAGTAAAACAATTTTCTGATCCGAATTAGCTGCAGGCCCCAGAGAGTGGATGAAACCATGATGGATATGGGAGTGAACAGTGCAATAGTAGAGCTCCAGTGCTCCATCTGGGCAAAATACTACACCAGGCATTTCTAGTACAGAGCAGTAAGTCTTCAAAATGTCCTTCTTTTGGCTAGCCACCTAACTCCTCCTTTCTACAGTTTATGGGCTACTGCCATAGCCTTGTGAACTACCATTTCCCCCTTAATAAGTTTGAGAACCACAGGCTTATACCATTACACTACAGGAGTTCAAAGGAGTTTACAGTACACAATTGCAATTATCCAGTACACAATCCAAATTAGCATTCAGGTGTGAATTTATCCCTAATGCACAGAAGTTAGGATTTGCATTGGCTTTCTGTATTAGTTTAAATTACAAAATTAACTTAGTCAAATTGTGCTGTAAATAATACCATTTTGAATTGTTACAGTTCTTCTGGGAGTCAAACAGTTCAAGTGCACTTAATACAGGAGATTTTGTGATTACAGTACTGTACCTCTTAGTGATGAATGCACATGCATTACAGTCACATATTGTGGTGTTACACCAAAGGCACTAAGTTAACATTGCAAAATCTGAAGTTTTTACATAATTAAATAAGTTGGGCATTTAACGGTATTCCAGTTGGGTGAGGGTTTGTGACTGTTTTAATAAA